ACAGAACAAAAATGAACAGAGTGGTCAGAAGGAAAAAAAAAATCAAGAATCCACAATCACACTCAGAGATTTTGATAGCCTTCTCTCAAGAATTGCTAGAAAACCAGGAAGAATATAGAATGTGTGAACAACAAGGTCAAACCTCTTGGGTATGGCATTTAGAGTTAGGAAGTCAACCAGGGAGATAAAATCAAATCCCGAAAATCTAGGCAGTCTGGTTTGAGTGTCTGTTGCCAGCAGTCCTGGTGTCCTGGAGACCACGGGGAGGACAAAGGACTGGGATGGTTTTGAAGGACAAAGAATCCTAGAGCAGAGGCACAGTTAGGAAAACAGAAGAGGAAAGGGGGATCTTAATGATGGAGGGCTCTAAGCTCTGTCTCCTTTGAGGCTTGCTAGCACGTAGATGGAAAAATCAGAATATCTGTGACTGACTCTTGGGTGGTGGACTGTGGTTCCTTGAATGAATCCAAAGCAGAGCCACGTGGAACACTGTGTTTTAGTCCTTGGTTAAGATGGAACTGAGAGGAGTAAACAAACGCAGACCCAGGACTGAGGCTCACTCTCACCTGGGCGAGTCCTGTTACCATGTTATCCCTATGTTTCTCTATCTGTCAAGTGGGGGATTCATTCATTCACTTATTTTTCTATGCAACCAATAGTCAGTTTTGCAAGATATCAAACCCTGTACGAGGTATTGCAACCAAAGGAGACAAGTGTCCCTTCCAACAAGGAACTCACAGCCTAGTAAGGAAGAAAGACAATAAACTAGTGAACAAAGAAACACATGGGATAGGGTAGGGTRGGATAGGACAGGAGCGCTGCTAAAAGCAAAGGAAGAAAAGGAGAGAGGGGACACATGACCCAGRGGGCCAAGGGGACATGCTGAGAAGATGCAGAGACGTGCAGAGATCCAGGTGAGCCATAGGGACGTCCACATGGAGGAAAGGGGACATCCTAGGCAGGGGAAACAGTAAGGGCAGGGGTCCTGATGGGAACCTCTTTGGGGAGGTCCAAGGAGGCCAGGGGCTGCAGTAGTGATCAAGGTCAGCGCTCGGGGGCCTCGYAGCCATGGTAACAGTGCTGGTCCTTACTTGGAATGAGATGGGGACTCATGGGAGGTTTCCTAGCATTCAGATGCCAGGATCAGGCTCCTATTTTTTTTTTTCAAACCACCCTGGCTTCAGAGTAAGAAACAGAGTGCAGGCAAGCCAAGTAAGGAACAGGGGAACAGCTCAAGTGAAGGGGAGAGGGGAAGGGGGCGCAGGGCCCAGTGCAGAGAAGGAGGTGGGGACAGGCAGGGAGCTCTAGAAGATCCTGAGGGTGGAACGAACAGAACTGGATGATGCATGAGACGTGTGGTGAGAAAGAATGAGACTTGTCAAAGAGGACTCCAAGGTGGTGGGTCTGAGCATGTGGGTGGAGGAAGGGGCCATTTTCTTAAGATGGGGGGGCAATCTTTCCCAATTCCTGTAAAGGCTGTCTCAGGGATGAAATGAGAAAGTGGCTGTGAAGACACTTCTGGAACTTGAAAGCACCATCTGGAGGCAAAAGATGAAAAATTAGAAAGCCACTTTGAAGTTGTTAATTCTCAAATGTGCCCAGATACCCCTGTTCTAAGACCAAAAAAAAAAAAAAAAAGAAAGAAAGAAAAAAAAAAACAGTGTTGATTTTTCTCATTGGCATTTTTCTCTTTAATAAGGTTATTCTAGATGGATCCGTGGTTCATTCAAGGATCTGTTTCACTTCATCGAGGAATATTTCACAGTAATTCTGATTTTCATCTTATGTGTTAAAGTGGATATTATATATATATATATAATCTTAGCCATGCTTCTTAAAAATTCCCCCACCTCTCATTTTCTAAGCTGTGATGTTGCTTTGATAATTTTATCACCCTTCCCCACATAATAGGACTCAATAAAACTATTTTAAGCTTAAATGAAAAAAAATATTGTCCATGAACATTTTTTATTTTTCCCTGAATCATTCCTCATGCAGCTTAGGGTGCTCACCCCTGATTTAGGCCACCTTGGGTCTGATTGTGTTTTTAAAGGAACTCATTGCTCACTTTCAGAGGTATTTTAGGCTCTCTTGGTCATTTTAAAATGGCGGCCTCGGCAGACAAATTAGTTATGGCATCTGACAGAAGGAAGCTGTATATTTTTTCAGTTGTTTAGAACAACAAGGTAGCCTGAAACACATTTATTAATTTTTACAAAAAAGTCAACAGAAAAATTCCGAAGTCCAGATAGATTAGTTCAGTTTTCAAACTGTGAAGAAAGAGAATGTGGGAAGTGGGATTGTCCAATGGGGACACCAATACCCATGCCAAGTGTTGCTGTGGAGAATAGTGTTTCTGAAACTCCTAGTTCAGTGTTCCAGGGGGCCCAGGCTGCAGGGTGAGGTACTGATTCTTTTAAGGAAATTAAAAAGAAGCAGTTGAGAGGACAGATCTACTCATCCACTTTCTTATTCTCTTTTCTACCATTCTCTCTTCYGTTGCCATTTCCTCCTTGTCCATTCATTCCTGCTCACTCATACTCTGGTTCCTTTAGCAAATGTTTACAGACTCTGTTTTAGTTAGCTTTTTCATCACTTTGACCAGAAGACTTGAGAAGAACAAGTAGAAGAGAGGAAGTGTATTTGGGTCTCATGGATGGTCAACTCCAAAGCTCTTAGACTAAAGTGAGGCAGAGGTTCATTGAAGGGAGGTGTGGTGGAGGAAAGCAGCTCAGGTCATGACTCAGGAAGGGAAGTGGGTGGAGGAGAGAGAGGGAGAGAGAGATTGATTTGCTCACCAGGGACAAAACATATACCCCCAATGACCCACCTCCTGCAGCTGCTCCCTACCCACCTTCAGTTACCACCCAGTTAACCCTTGTGAGGGGATTCATGGGGATTCATCCACTGATCACAATCTAATCATTTTGCCTCTAAACATTCTCACATTATTTCGCACATGAGCTTTTGGGGGATACCTCATATCTAAACTGTAACAGAGTCTTTACGAACCCAAGTTTTGTTAAGGTTGCAGGATCTTTCGTTGTGGAAGGAAATGAATACTATAGGAAGTGAACAGAATACTCAATTCCTTTGTCTTGAAACTAGGATATTGACTCTTGAAAGGGAAATGGTGTTAGGGAGAAATGCCATTAATGTTTCTGGAATATATGCTAGGAGTGTGATAGGGGAGAAGAAGAGCTGACCTCAAGAAATCTTTCTGAGATGCCAATTTGATTGAGGAAAGGCTGGCTGAAGTTCCTCAGGAAGGACCAACTGTGTGTGTACTCAGGGCCTGGCCCACTCCCCCACATCCTGACATAATTCCATCTCAGGCTCTGGGAATAATCTGGTCTCAAGGAAGTTCAATGCAAATTCTCCAAGGCCAAACTGAAGCCTGGGTTCTGTTCTGTTCTGTTCCACGTCTCCAGGTTACACATGCCCCTGCTCTCTCTGGAGTCTTCTGGACCCGAACCCTTCTATGCCCTGATTGGCAGGTAGCTATCTTTCCCTGGCCTCTCTGGATTTGGTTGCTCCCAAGAACATGGAGGCCYTAGGGGGAGGGCCGTGTTCTCTCCTCTCTGACTGCATTCTGTGGTGGGCTCTCCTCCAAGGGGATGTTCTCTTCCTGTTCTGGTCACACCCTCCTGGACTCCGCATGAACTTCTGTTTCAACTTGCTTTAATCCATGGTTAGGCCTTGATCTCAGGTGTCTGAATTCCCCAAACCTCCACTACAAACAGATAATCCTCAGTTTTCATGGTGGGGTTACCACTTCGAGCCCTATCCTAAGTGAATTCATTAAAAAAAAAAAAGGAAAAGAATTAAGGGGACATTTCTGGTGACCAGAAAGGCCAAGCAGAATGATAACTGGTTGGCCAATAGCCCCTGCAGAGCACTTGATAAACGTCCCTAGGTCACTACACAGCACAACTGTTCCCAACTTATTTAATAGGCCACGTCTCAACATGGGCCCAGTCATCAATAAACACTTCCTCATGCAGCTTAGGCTGTTCACCCCTGATGTAGGCCACCTTGGGTCTGACTGTGTTTTTAAGGAATTCATTGCTCACCGGTGGCTTTGTAAAATAAAACCATATTTTACCTATTCTTGTCCTATTCTGTCCTCCTTGAACTTACCTAGTTATTCATTCCACTCCAACCTCTAAGATAATGAAGATAAACACAATTTTTCATTATTATTATTATTAATTTTTTTTGCTCATTCATTTCTATGTGGCAGCAAACCCTCAGAAAGTTCCAGTGGGAACTGACCTCCTCCAACATGGCTTTAGCAGCTGCTCCCAGCTCACGGGGGCAGTTGCTGACCAAGGTGCACAAGTGGGTGATTTGTAGYCTGGATGAGCTCTAGGCCTTGACAAGGGGCATGGGACCCAGAAGAACTCCCCACACTAGACCCCTTCGCATGCTTCGTGCAGGRTTTGAATAGTACTGGAAATCCTCTCAGAGGAAGAGAAGGAAATTATTCTCTGTTGATGGCAAAAAAGCCAATACAGAGATCATCAGAAGTGAGGAAGCTCAGAGTAATTTTCAGAGTCAAATTTTTTGGTTTTGGATTGAAYCCAGGGGCACTTAACCACTGAGCCACATCCCCAGCTCTTATTTTATTTTCTATTTAGGGACAGGGTCTCACTAAGTTGCTTAGGGCCTAAGTTGCTAAGGCTGGCTTTGAACTCAAGATCCTCCTGCCTCAGCCTCCCGAGTTGCTGGAATTACAGGCATGTGCCACTGCACCTGGCTTCCCAGTCAAATATTTTAATAACCTCTTATGAATGTTTTCRACTTCCTTCCATGTAGTTCTCTGAAGATCAGTCTTGTATTTGTTTTGTTCATTTTTTTTGCAGTGCTGGGGATGGAACCCGGCCAGGGCTCTGCACCTGCTCTCCTGCTGAGCTACGTGCCCAGCCCTCATTTGACTTCTGTCTTGGAAAAGGAGTGGACACGTGTCCCACATGACCACATGGGGACGAGACACTTACCCAGAGTGCTTCATGTTTTGGGGCTTATCCATCCGGACGGCAAGTTTGATTTTGAGGTCTTGATCGGGGCAGTTTTTGGAGACTGTCATTTTGTGCCACTCAGACTGTTTGGGGCTGTTTGGGGTGGGATGGAGGATGACCTGTAGGGAACAAAGGGACAAATGTGTTAGTGGGACAATACAAGCATCACGATGGGCATGTTTCTGTGGATCAGAGACTTTGCTGCTGAGATGTGGAGTGCCGTGTTCAGGTCCCACAGCCAACGTGTCATCTGCTCACAGAGGCTGGCCAGGCCTGAAGACAGGGCATTCTCTTGCTCCCYTCTCTCTTTTCCTGACCAAGTTCGTTAAAAAAAAAAAGTAAGGATCATGACTTTAGTGATTTTTTTGTTGCTTTTCCAAAGTTGAAAAACACAAAGGAAACCCTGATCAGAGAACAGCCTTATTACCATCATCCAATAATATAGATGAATGAAAGAGGCCATGCTAGAGACCACTTCTACTCCATTCCTTTCTTCCTTCTATATTCTCTCTCTCTCTATATATATATATACATATGTGTGTGTGCATTTTAATTGTAGAATGTTATATATTTATTTTTTTATATGGTGCTGAGGATCAAACACGTGCTAGRCAAGTGCTCTACCACTAAGCCCTCTCCCCCCTATTCTTTTTTTAAAATATTTTTTTAGTTGTAGATGGACACAATACCTTTATTTTGTTTATTTAATTTGTTTATGTGGTGCAGGGGATCAAACCCAGTGCCTCACGAATGCCAGACAAGTGTTCTGCCACTGAGCCACACCCCCAGCCCCTCCCATTCTTTAGGATATCTTTTACTATTGCAAGAAGAGAAATTCCTCAAAACCCACAGAGGAAAATAGAAAGGATGTTATCAAATAGATAAGAAGGGTTAAGATGGCGAGAAGGAAGTCAGGTGTGGTGGCTGAGGCTCAGGAGGCTGAGGCAGGAGGATCGTGAGTTCAAAGTCAGCCTCAGCAAATTAAAGAGGCCCTAAGCAACTTAGAAAGGCCCTAAGAAACTCAATGAGACCCTGTCTCTAAATAAAATATAAAAAAGGGCTGGGGATGTGGCTCAGTGGTTCAGCACCCTTGGGTTCAATCCTGCCCCCCACCCCCGGCCAAAAAAAWGTAGATGTAGAAAAGGGAAAGGGGTCTTTTAAGGGTCACAAGTCAGTCAGCCCAATTCACCTGGGCTTGTCCCACACCACCCAGCTTTGCCTTGGCATGGAAGGAGGCGTAGGTAGCTTGGTGAGAGATCAGCTCCAGGAAAATGCTTTTCACAGGTGCATGTCAGAGATGGCTCTTACCGATGTCCTACCTCGGTTCTCATTGCCTCAGAGGCTGGAGGTGAGAGAGAAGTGGACAACCTGGGCAATCCACTTTYTCACTCTGGTTGTCAGAAACCAGACAGAATCTGCAGAACATGCAGTCGGGGAGGAGTGGAGTCGTTGGAAGAGCTACGCTAAGGAAACATGGGCACAACAAACACTGGGCTCTCTCTCCTKCGATGGCAGTGTGCCCAGCTTTGTTCAGGTGGCTTGGGCTGCTTTCAAAGCATCTATTTTCCCCAGGTGCAGGGAAAGCAGGTTCCTTTCCTGGGCTCCTCTCCCCAGTGGAGAGGGTTAGAAGAGACGCGAAGTCTCAGCAGTGGACACTCTGGCCTTCCTGGTCCAGCCTCAGCTTTGCTCAGTCTTGCCAGCGTGGTCTGTGCTTGGAGGACAGGTGCACATGGCCTTCCCCGWGACCTGAATAAGGGCTCAGAGAAGGGGACTGGGGCAGAAACACTGCAACGTGCTTCCTTTGTGTGATATTTCCCCCCATCTCTCTTTGGGGCCTGACCCTTTTTTCCATTAACTTCCCTCTCGATGATGAAAGAAAATTGATAACTTCTTGCAAAACACAAAATTCCAGTTTCCCCAGTGTTTTATGATGTGGTTGAAACAGAAGAAGGCCTGGAGTTCCAGATCAGTGGCTGCCAAAGATGTTTGATCRAGCTCTACTTCAGGGAAATATTTTTTGAGCAATGAGCTCAATACCCAGATGCCAACATTTAACATTAAATTTGTTTACTTTGTATTTGTATACTACCTTATCTCATGTATCAAAGATAGACGCAAATGTAGAAATTTTAAAATGATGGGATAGAGATCAAGAAAAAAAATCCCTAATTTCTAATACACTTGGCCTTCTGTATCCTTAGGTTCCCAGGACCCTCATCACTCAACAGGGCTGATGCTTATACAGGGGCGGTCAAGGGTGGGGACCCAGATGCAAGAAAATTGGATTCAATCAACTAAAGATTGAAAATGTTTGGGAAATAAATCTGCACTCAACATGTACAGACCTTTCCTTGTCTTTCTTCCCTAAACATTACAGAATAGAACAACAGCTATTTACATAGTATTTACATTATATTAGTGTTATGKTGTGGATGTGAGGTGTCCCCCAAAAGCTCACATGTGAGACATGCAGGAAGGTCCAGAGGAGACAAGACTGGGTGGTGAGAGCCTTAACCCAACCAGTGAATGAACCCTGATGGGATTAACTGGGTGGTGGCTGGAGGCAGGTGGGTGTGGCTGGAGGAGGGGGYATTGGGGGCGTGGCTTTGGGGTCTCTATCTGTCTCTGGAGAGTGGAGTCTCTCTCTGCTTCCTGATCACCATGTGAGCTGCTTCCCTCCACCACACTCTTCCTCCATGATGTCCTGCCTCACTTGGAGCCCCAAGGAGTGGAGCCTGCTGCCTATGGACTGAGACCTCTGAAACTGTGAGCTGTCAAATAAACCTTTCCTCCTCAACAGTTGTTCTAGTCAGATCCTTTAGTCACAGCAGCAAAAAAGCTGACTAAAACAATTAGGTAATATAAGTAATAGATGGTTTAAAGCAGACGAAAAGTAGAGGATATGCAAGCAGCACACATTTTACACAAGAGACCTGAGCATTCAAAGATTCTGGTATCTGCAAGGGGTCCTGGAACCAGTCCCCAGGGTACTGAGTGATCACTGCTGGTCATTGTGGCCATGTTCTATGATGAGCTATATTTTAAGGGATCATCTCTATTTAGGGCAAGGTGCATTGTTAATGACATTGGGTGTAAACCCAATAGAGTAAATCCCTATAGTTCTGGGAGTCTTCTAAATACTGTCACACCATCCTGACGGACAGCTTGTCCTCCGTGGTCATGCCCCGCAGGCTGAATCTGGGTGGTGACTCTGGCATCTTTTCTATTTTTCCTAAAACTTGCATTACTAGTGTCACCTTCAAATCAGAACCCTCTGCTTGTGATCATTTTAGGCCTTTTGATCATTCTGTGAAGGTTAATTGGACAACTATGTGTAAATGTCTAAGTTCACAAAACTGGCACTAGCAAACCTCTCCGGGCCAATATGTCATAGGACAAATGATGGAAGTGAAAGAGGAACTCGGGGTGTCATGGCATTGGGAAGAACTCTCCCTTCCCTTAAGGATGCCCACCTGTCACCCTACAATGCATTCTAGATCTGGAGTCCTGACACTTTTGGAGATGGGAAGAGGGAGCTGCTGGACCCAGTGAAGCTGGCCCCCTGTCCTGAGCTAGTTTGGCCCAGGAGTGGCCAGGTTGGGAGGTAGTGAGTGTCAGGGAAGGGCTGGTGGGAGCAACACAGCCAGGCAGCAGGAAAGGTCCTTGGCTGGCTTCTCGGCTCCTTCCCACTTGGCAACGTAGGACAGGAGCGGTGCCCCGGGCACCCGGAGCTCATTAACAAGCCTCCCACCATATGGATCCTGGGCGTGTGTCCCACCAGCAATATGGTGTCCATTTAAGATGCAAATGGCTGCCGCTTATTCCTGGTCACTCCACAGTGACCTCCTTCCCCCTCCCTGTGGTCACTCCCTGGGGAGCCTTCTTCTGCAGAGTGGGTGGAGAGATGAGGTCATGCGGTTCTCTTGCAGCTGGGTCCCCACCCTTGACCGCCCCTGTATAAGTGTCAGCCCTGTTGAGTGATGAGGGTCCTTCTGGGGGCATGGGAGCCCTGGGCAGATCAGACACCTCATCTGCACATTCCAGGCTGCTAATCAAGCACTTTGTCATCTCAGCCACAGCCCATGTGTGCTGGGCTTTGATGTGGGGTGGCTGGTATGGCGACCACAGCCCCCCTGCAGTAGGCTGCACCCCAGCCAGCTGCAGCTTCTCCTAGTCACCTGGGCATGTAGTGGAACTGGCTGGGGACTGCTTTACCCTGGGCCCTCACCTGGCTGATGTCCACAGCTGAGCCTGGATCCCTCTCCCTACCTGTTTGCATGCCCTGGGAAAGGCATCCCTGCTCCTCAGACTGACTTCTGTCCACTTACCACACTGCACAGAAATTTCTGGATTTTATGCCTGTGCCCTGTGAGCTCTGAGAGGCTAATGATTTTTGCTTGCTTTTATCCCTGCTTACTCGGCACACGGCACTAATGATTAGGCACAGCAGGCCTGCAATCATATTTGTGGAAAAAAAGTTTGATAACATTGCAGTGTTGGCTTGGGTGTGAGGAAACAGGCACTCTCTCATGCCTTTTGTGGAGGTATAAAATGGCATATGGACAGTTTGGCAGTAACTGTTAAATTCAAATTGTGTTCAGCAAAATATTTTTTTTTGAAATTTATCCTGTAGGCATATGCAAGAAAAAATAAATAAATTTGAGGCTACACACCAAAGCATTCTTTATGCACCCAAAGATGAAATAATCTAAAACTTCATCAACAGAAGATGTATTGAATGAAATATATCTGCACAGTGGAATACTATACAGCCCTATAAAAAGAACTGGGTCACTATGGGTTGCAATGGACTCATTTCCAAATATGCTGATGTTCCAACTGATGGATAGAGCAGTAGTTATAAAGTAACTTTCAGTTGTGCTTTCTTTTCTTAAATAGAGGAATGCACACACACATATGCTATGAATGTATGTGCAGAGAATATTTTGGGAAGAATATGCCAGGAATTGCAAAAAAATATTTTTCATTTTCAATGCAAAAAACATTTTCATTGTGGTATCTGGTCAAGGTGAAAGAAATTGTTATGGTTTGTATTTGAGATGACCGAGAAAAGTTCACGTGTGAGACGGTGCAGGAAGGTCCAGAGGAGACATGACTGGGTTGTGAGAGCCTTAATCCAACCAGTGGATGAAACCCCCTGGTGGATTAACTGGGTGGTAACTGGAGGAGGGGGCATTGGGGGCATGGCTTTGGGGTCTCTATTTGTCTCTGGAGAGTGGAGTCTCTCTGCTTCCTGATCACCATGTGAGCTGCTTCCCTTCACCACACTCTTCCTCCATGATGTCCTGTCTCCCCTCGAGYYCYGAGGAATGGAGTCTGCTGCCTAGGGACTGAGAGACACTGTGAGCCTTCAAATAAACTTTTCCTCCTCTATAACTGTTCTGGTTGGGTCCTTTAGTGACGGCAGCGAAGAAGCTGACCAAAACAGGGATCATTAGTTTCCACTAGTATCCATTTTTATTATTTTTAAACCATCTGCATGGATTATTTCTTCAATTAAATAGTTAGCAAAGAAGAAACAGACTAAAAATGGTTGAATGGATCACTTGGATTTGCAATGTGGTTCTGCTACCACTTGATAGAATCAGCACACAGAAGCACTCTTCCATAGGGTCCCCAGAGTAACCTCACCTAAAAAGAGACAGCAATGCCACACGGGTGGCACACGCCTGTCATCCCAGCAGCTCTGGAGGCTGAGGCAGAGGCTGAGGCAGGAGGATTGTAAGTTCAAAGCCAGCCTCAGCCAAAGCCAAAGCGAGGCCCTAAGCAACTCAGTGAGACCCTGTTTCTAAATAAAATACAAAATAGGGCTGGGGATGGGGCTCAGTGGTCGGGTGTCCCTGAGTTCAATCCCTAGTGCCCCACCCCTCAAAAAAAAGACAACACTGCTGTCTCCCCACGGAGCTTTCTTAGTCCAGCGGGGTCAGCTCTCCCTCCCAGTCTCATTGGCGATCAGTCCAGTGGAGGATGTGGGCAGAGGGYTGCCGTGGTGCCCCAAGGTCCATGGCTGTGAGGACTGGCATTTGCTCAGAGAGATCGTGTGTGGCTTTGGAAGGCCTGGGAGGTAGGGAAGAGTTTTTYAGGCAGAGGGCCAGCCCCTGGGGAGGAGAAGCACTTAGCTCATCTGAGCACCTGTCCAGGTGCCGGTGGCAGAGGGTGCCCAGCCAGCAGGAGGAGGCAGGCAGGCCAGCCCCATGAAGATGGTGGAAGTTTCTTAGGCGTGAAGCAAGTGTCAATCATCCAGGAACGAGTGGCCTTGTGGTCTGGGGCAAGCTTGGGGCCTCGGCCACCACAGAGCCTAGGGCTTCACCACTGTAGAGCATCAGTGTGGCGTAGGGAAGGTCCCCTGGAGTTGAGCTGCCTCCATTCCTTGTCAGCTACTTAACCCCCAGGTCCTGTGCTTCTCTGCACCAGTGAGGCCAGGGAGAAGCCCCTGCCTCGGTGGGCACACTTGTGAAGGGTCCCTGAGGGGCTGAGCCTGGCCTGAGGGGCATGGAGGATGCACAGGCCCCTCCCTGACCTGGGGGCTCTGGGGGCCCCTGGCCTCCCACTGGAATCGGTTCTCCCATCTATACTACAAAGAATTTGAAGAACTCCTGGCTTTAAGCTCTCCTGAGAGGAAATGATGGAGAATCAGGAAAGTGCCTGTATCACCTGTATTGCTGCATCTGTAGACCATTTCCTGGGCACCCTGTGTTCTGTGCAGCCCATCCGGGGACCCAGGGGGAGTCTCCCTGTACTGGCCAGTTCCATGCCTCTCTGCCAACACCCATAGGCTGGATCCTGAGAGTCTCGTGATTTTTGACATCTGCCTTCATGAGAAAAGAGAAGGAAAAGACAAAGACAGCCTGCTTCTCCCGCTCTGTGTCCCGATGGACAGAAGTGAACACCTGTCACTGCTCAAAGGGAACAGCTAAGCCCTTTCCTTCAGTCTCCTCCTTTCTGGGGAGGGACACTGTGTTTGCTCTTAGCCTTATTTACTTTTTGTTTGGCCTCTGTCTGTGATCTGTGTTTTAGAAATATGATTCCAGGGAAAACCTACAGATGAAAGGAAAGAAAAATCACAGACACAAAGGGAAGGAAAAGGAAAGCACAGGAAGTGAGGTCTGGCTGGTCCCACCAGGTGTGTGTGCCACGTGCATCTGGGGGTGCCCAGGTTTCTCTAGATGATAGACCAGAGACGCAGAGAGGATGCCTTCAGGAGGGATTATGCAGCCAACYAGTATGAATGAACTCTAAATTGTTTCCCCTAAATTTCATATATTGAAGATATGTAACCACCAACATGTCTGTATCTGGAGAGAGGTAATCAAAGCTAAATGAAGCCGGGCACTGTGGYACACRCCTGTCATCCCAGCATCTTGGGAGGCTGAGGCAGGAGGATCAAGAGTTCAAAGCCAGCCTCAGCAATTTAGTGAGGCCCTAAGCAACTCAATGAGATTCTGTCTCTAAAGAAAATAAAAAAATATTTTTTTAAAAAAACCTGGGGATGTGGCTCACTGGTTAAGTGCCCCTGGGTTCAATCCCTAGTGCCAAAAGGGGAAAAAAAAAAAGCTCAATGAGGTCATAAGGATGGGGTCATAATCTGACAGGATTGGTGACCTATTTATAAAAAGAAAATATG